AAAACAGACTAGATATGAATATTGCCCTGTCTGACACCTGATTCCAACTGCAAGAGAGGGGCTAGGCAAAATTGTTCAAACTGCTCTCAAATTTCCAACTCACAGAAACTGCCAAAGATAATACATGACTGCTATATTAATCTACTGTTTTGGGATCATTTATTGCACAGCAACAGAAAATTCTATAGTATCCCTGCCAGAAAAAAAAAAAAATTACACAGCTGGAGAACAAATCAGTATTTGCCAGGGAATATGCATAATGGGTGGGTCTGACTACCAAAAGGCAGTACAAGGGAGGTTTTGGTGTGATGGGGCTGCTGCGTATCCCAATTGTGGGGTTAATTACAGGAATCTACACATATGTGTTAAAATTCAGGTAACTATATACCAAATCACTTTTATTGTATGATGATTTTTTTTTTTCCAAATGTGATTTAACACTTGAAAAGCAGGAGCTGGCAAAGTGGTATAGTCTGTAAAGCCAACACCAGCAACCCATGTAACCACAAATTCAAGTCTGGCTGCTCCACTTCCAAATCAGTTCTTTGGCCTGAGAAAAGCAATAGAAAGCGGCCTGTGCCACTCACATCAGAGATCCAGATGAAGCTCTTAGCCACTCACTTAATCTTGCCCAGTACTGGCCATTGCAACCATCTGGTGAGTGAACCAGCAGACGTTGCTCTTTAACTCTTTAAACAAATAAATCAATCTTAAAATATTAAAAGTTGAACTACAACTTATTTTCAGACGGTTATGTGCTAGGAAGACACAGTGGTTCATCAGGCTAATCCCTCACTCTGTGTCCTTTCATTTGAAACAGACTTTACACAGCGAGATCTTCAACCTACTGGTTCACTCCCAAAATGGTCACAACAGCCAGAGCTAATCTGATCAGAGGCTGGGAGCAAGGAGCTTCTTCTGGGTCTTCTACATGGTCACAGGGGACCAAGGCCTTGGACCATCCAATGCTGCTTTCCCAGGCCTTTACCAGGGACCTGATTTGGAAGTGGGGCAGCTGAGTCTCTAACTGGCGCAGATGTCAGCAGGCAGAAGACTAGGCTGCTATGCCACTGTGGCAGTCCCATACGATTTTCAAGGTTCAATTGCACGAAAACAAAAGTTTAAGGAAACTGGTACTGGATGTGCTGCAATAGCTCAATGACCAAGTCCTTGCCTTGCAAGTGCTGGAATCCCATATGGGTGTAAGCTGATGTGCTGCAGCGGCTCCACTTCCCATCCAGCTCCCTGCTTGTGGCCTGGGAAAGCAGCTGAGGAAGGCCCAAAGCCTTGGGACCCTGCACCCATGTGGGAGACCCAGAACAAGCTCTGGCTCCTGGCTTCAAGTTGGCTCAGCTCCGGCAACTGCAGCCTCTTAAAGAGTGAACAGTGGATGGGAGATCTTTCTATCTCTCCTCCTCTCTGTATATCTATATCTGACTTTCCAAGAAAAATAAGTAAATCTTTTTTTTTTTTTAAAAAAAGCATTGTTTAAAAGATTTTTAAAACTGGAAACAGTCTTAATGCTAATAATACCATAGGCTAATAATTGTGATACACACATAAAAGGAGAACTATACAAATCAGGGCAAGTATTATGATACAGGAGGAAGGTTAAGCCAGTACTTCTGACTTCTACAATCCATACTGATGTGCCTGGATTTGAGCCCTGATTCCTCTTCCAATCTCCACTTTTCCAGAAAACACTACTTTTAACATTTTATAATATCAGTAGATGACTGGGATGAACCAGTGGATAGAATATCTGTCTCTTGTCTCTCCCATTCTGTCTGTAATTCTGCTTTTCAAATAAATACAATTATTTTTTTAAAAACACAATGAAATCAAGTATACATTTCTTCAAAGCTAAGAAAGGATATGAAATAATCTTCAAAAGCACTGTTATTAGAGAAATGCAAATCAAAACAACAAAGCATCATCTCACACTCATTAGAACAGCCGTCATCAAAGACACACAGGCACTGGGGTTGTGGCACAGCAAGTTAAGTCATCATAACAGACAAGCAGATGAAGGACCTCTTCCCCCTGCTCTCTTTGTAACTCACATAAACAGACAAATCTCTGGGGAAAAAGTTTATATTTAATACACTATTTCATTTACTTGCTAAAACAATTATTTAAAACAGCAGTGTTTTAGCCAAAACTAGGGAACATCTTCCCTGTGTATGTCAAGGAAATTTCATAAGAAAGTATAAATAGAACAAAAGATCTGCCAAAAATGAAATCTGAAAATTTACTTTCTCAGGTCACATAGAACAAACACATTCCACTTTCCTGTAACATTTATTAGTTTCTTTAACATTCTGATTCATTAATTATTATGTCAAATGTTTGCAGCAAAACTCTGCATCTTTTCCAAGAATAAACCGTTTATCAGTATTTCCAAATCTTAGTAAATATAAAAATTCCATGTATAAACTAAGTATATTGAAACTTAGCAGAGGTTAACTAAGATCACCAAAATTCAAAACAAAAGTTGAACAACTTTTGTTTTTTAGTCCTCTTCACCTACTCCATTCTGTTGTCTTTTACACAAGCTTTGGGTCCCTTTCATTTCTTTTTTCTTAAGACTTTTTTTTTAAAGACTTATTTGTTTTTATTACAAAGTCAGATATACAGAGAGAAGAAGAGACAGAAAGGAAGATCTATCCGTGATTCACTCCCCAAGTGACCACAACGGCCAGAGCCACGCCGATCCAAAGCCAGGAGGCAGGAACTTCTTCCGGGTATCCCACGAAGACTTTGGGCCATCCTCGACTGCTTTCCCAGGCCACAAGCAGGGAGCTGGATGGGAAGTGGAGCAGCCAGGACACAAACCAACACCCATATGGGATCCCGGGCGTGCAAAGAGAGGTTAGTCAAGTGAGCCATCACCCTGCACCCATTCCCTTCCAATTCATTCTCACTGCCGTCCCTGAATTCTGGCCCTCCTGTCCCCAGATTTTCTCTGTCCCAGTAAATAAATTTTCGTAAAATGAGACTGGTCTCTAACTTTTCCAAAATTTCTCCTAAGACCAGTCCCATACAAAGTAGCTTAAACCAAACTCCAATTAATCTAGTCTCCACATTACTAACACTAGTTCCATTCCTGCCTCTCCACACTTTTGATGTAAACTGTATCCTGGTCTCTCTGCCTTTCATTATTCTCCTTACACATCACACCCAATTAAACTGCTCTGAGACTTTGTTCAAACTATGTTTCATTTTGTTTCTTAAAGTACTTATTTATTTGAAAGGCAGAGGAGCCAAGAACTTCACCTGGATGGCAGAAACCCAAATACATGGGCTATCATGTGCTGCTTCCCAGGTGAATATCAGCAGGAACACTAGTCAGAGGCAGACTTGGTATTTGATCCCAGACACTCCAATAAGAAACCACAATGCCCACCCTTTAACTGCTTTTAATCTTTATGTGAGTAAGGGCTTTCTTCCCAAAGAGTGGCAAACATGGCTTATGCTACACAGAGTCAAGCCCCAGTTGAGAGGATGCAAAGTGGTAACCCACAGAACCAATTCTGTCCACAGTGGTGATTTGTTTGACCCACAGTGACTGAATTCATAAGTTGCCAACACTTAAAAATAGATTCCTTACAAAATCTGGATTCAAGCTTCTCTTTAGAAAAAAGTTACATGTTTGGGCCACACTCAGTCTGCCTTTCCTGTAAATTACTAGCGAGCCAAGAGTGAACTGTGCACTTAAAAACAGCAAGTACTGGGCCTGGCACAGTAGCATAGTGGCTAAATCCTCGCCTTGCAGACGTCAGGATCCCATACAGACACCGGTTCTAATCCCAGCTGCTCCATTTCCCATCCAGCTCCCTGTCTGTGCCCTGGGAAAGCAGTCAATGACGGCCCAAAGCCTTGGAACCCTGCATCCATATGGGAGACCTGGAAAAGGTCTTGGCTCCTGGCTTTGGACTGGCTCAGCTCCAGCCATTGTAGCCACTTAAGGAGTGAATTAACAGACAGAAGATCTTCCTCTGTTTCTCCTCCTCTCTATCTGACTTTCTAATAAAAATAAGCTAAATATTAAAATTAAATAACATGACTTCTTGGGGCCAGGGTTATGCCACGGTGAGGTGAGCTGCCATTTGCAATGCTGCTGTCCCATATGGGTGCCAGTTCAAATCCTGGATGCTTTATTTCTGATACAGTTCCTTGCTGGTATGCCTAGGAAAGCAATAAAGATGGTCCAAGTTCTTGGGTCCCTGCCACCCACATAGGAGACTACTGGATGAAGTTCTAGGTTCCAGGCTCTGGACTGACTCAGCCCCAGCTGTTTTCTCTCCTGACTTTTTAAAGTAATCTCTTTCTCAGATTTCCTTCACAATATTGTTGCCAACTTCTCCTATTCTGTGGCTCTAGCTAATAAGACAAATTCATTTTTTCTAAAGATTAAAAATATATTTTATTGATTCACAATAATACCAAATAAACATGTTAGAATACCTCTATGTTACAAATACATAAATTACACCCAAGGAGATTAAATAAGTTGTCAAATGTCATGCAGTTTGTCAGTGGTAAAGGCAAATTAGAACCCAGATTTATTCATCCTGAATTCCCTATTCTTTTTTCCATTCTTTAAATTTCTCTTTTTAATTGCTGCGATTTTTAATCATGCATGTGTATACGTCTGGGAAAGTTTATAGAAATAAATGATTCTAAAACAGCACAATTAGAGGGGTATATATGTGTAACAGAGCTCTAACAACAGAAAAGTTTGAGGACCCAAATTAAGAGACAATAGAGCTCAGGGGCCAAACTTTACCAAAGAAACTTTGGGCTTCAATCTGAGTGGAAAAGGCAGGTTTCTTCAACCAACAAGTACAACCAGCATCAACACTGCTTGCTCGCTCGCGCCCTCTCTCTCTCTCTCTCCCTCTACATCTCCCCACAGTGGTGGCACGACCAGGTACAACCAGGGCCTGCACTCTGTATCACTGCTGCCCCCAAACCTTTCTTAAATAATGTCTCCATACCCGAAGTTCTCACAGTACAAATCACTTCTTTTGGTTAAGGCGTTGTCTCCAAAAGGCCACTGTGCAAGGCATGTTACCTGAAAAGGCAGGGAGAGTCCATTAAACATTTTTCAATGATTAAACACACCAGATTTGCAATGATCTTGAGAATCAAAGCACAAAGGTTTTTAATTTTTGACAGAGCAGGCATGATAGAGGACAAGCGGGTGGGGGAGAAATGATTCACACGTAGAACAGGACACGTGACAAAATCAAGATGACAATATAAACATGTAAAGGTCACCGTACGGATGAGCCCTGCCAGCAAGGAGCTCCCTAGGGACAGGAAAACAAAGAAGCACTCCAAGGATCTGGGTACAGCTCCCAAAAGACGCAGCTGCAGAGCTGAAGGGACAGCAGGTCTGTGTGGACAGCACACTGCAGGAGCAGGAGGGCCAGAGCAAGAACAGCCTCTGCTAGCTGTTCTGGGAAGTGAGGACAGTTTAGCCTCCCAGAGAAGGCTGTACATCAGTTCTGTAAAACTCTTTGCTCCTTTGCACTGACTCAAAATCAGTATCATTTACAGCTACAAAAATCAGCCTAGCTTTACTGAGTGCTTATTATAAATCCAGAATTGGGCTAAGTACTATAAAAAAAATAGAAAAAAATGTTGTTTTTACCTAAACATACGTAAAAGAAAGCAATTTCCAAAATCCAAAAGCAGGAGAGGTGGGGAAAAAGAAAAGCAGCAGGGAGTTGAGGGGAAGGGATACAGCGAGAGTTCAAACAGGTGATTTCCCACCAGCACTGACACAAATTCCTTAAGTCAGAATGAACAGAAAAAACCCATTTCTGGGCCAAAGTTTCTTGTTAAACTTTTTTTTTTTTTAAAAAAAAGACTTACTTATTTTTATTACAAAGTCAGATATACAGAGAGGAGGAGAGATAGAGAGGAAGATCTTCTGTCCAATGATTCACTCCCCAATTGAGTGCAATAGCCGGTGCTGCGCCAATCTGAAGCCAGGAGCCTCTTCCGGGTATCCCACATGGGTGCAGGGTCCCAAAGCCTTGGGCCATCCTCGACTGCTTTCCCAGGCCATAAGCAGGGAGCTGGATGGGAAGTGGAGCCACTGGGATTAGAACCGGCGCCCATATGGGATCCCAAGTGTGTTCAAGGCGAGGACTTTAGCCACTAGACCCCGTTGCCAGACCATCCTGTGTAAACTCTTATCTAATCAGTCCAAAGGAACAGGATAAAATATTCATTTTTTTTTTCTGGTTTTATCCCAAAAGCGCTCTAGTAGAATTCCAGATTGAATACTGCAAACCCTGGTTCTAGTTCTAGCTCACTCTTAACTGCTTTCAGATAAATTATTTAACCTTAAGGGAAAAAAACAAAAACAAAAACAGGGGTCAGCATGGTACAATGGTGGTTTAAGATGCCCTGGGACACTAGCATTCCAAGGGTGCCAGTCCAAGTTCTGGCTGCTGCATTTCTAACCCAGCTCCCTGTTAACAACATGGGAGACAAGGATGGAGTTCTAGACTCGTAGCTCAGTCAGTTCAGCACTGCTGGCAGTCATCTGGAGAGTGGTGAACCAGTGGATGGAAGGTATTTCTCTCACATGCACCCACACTCACTTTCTCTCTCTCTCCTCTCTTCAACTCAACGTTCCAAATAAATAAGTCTTTTTTAAAAGTAATTAATTTAGAGACCCAACAGATTGCACTAGTCTAAGAACACATTGAGTTAGATGCACCTGTGACATTAACATCACATTTGAGCACCTGTTTTGAGTCCCAACTGCTCCATTTACACTCCAGTTCCCTGCTAATGTGCCTGGGAAAACAGTGGAAGATAGAAGATAGTCTCAGAGCGCAGGCCACGCACCCATTCGAGACCCAGAGTTCTCGGCTCCTGGCTTGGGCTTGGCCCTGTCTTCTCTTTCTGTAACTCTGCTTTCCAAGTAAGTAAAATAAATTAAAAAATTAAAAGGGGGTGGTGGTGATGGTTCATAGTAGTGGTGTAGCACATTAATCCTCTGCCTGTCGCACCAGCATCCCATAAAGATTCACATCCCAGCTGCTTCACTTCCAGTCCAGCTCCCTGCATATGGCCTGGGAAAGCAGCAGAGGATGTGTTCAAGTCCTTGGAACCCTGCCCCCCATGTAGAAAACCTGGAAGAAGCTCCTGGCTTCAGATTGGCTCAGTTCTGGCTACTGCTATATAGGGAGTGAACCAACAGAGATGGAAAACCTCTCTCTATACAAAAATCTGCCTTTCAAGTAAATCTTAAAAGAAATAAATGCATGGCACACATGAGATTACCACAAAGTTGGTGAAAAATAAGAATAAAAGATATACTTTGGGGCCCGACAGCGTGGCCTAGCGGCTAAAGTCCTCGCCTAGAACATGCCGGGATCCCATATGGGTACCGGTTCTAATCCCAGCAACTCCACTTCCCATCCAGCTCCCTGCCTGTGGCCTGGGAAAGCAGTTGAGGACGGCCCAAAGCCTTGGGACCCTGCACCCATGTGGGATACCCGGAAGAAGTTCCTGGATCCTGGCTTCGGATCGGCATAGCATCAGCCGTTGCGCTCACTTGGGGAGTGAATCATCGGACGGAAGGTCTTCCTCTCTATCTCTCCTCCTCTCTGTATATCTGACTTCCCAATAAATAAATAAATCTTTAAAAAAAAAAAAAAGATATACTTCGGTACATAAATTCTGAAATCCACTCACAGCTTTTTCATAAGTGCATTTTCCACAAACTTAATATGGTCTTCAGTATGCCACCCACTAGACAACTGCCCATTGGAGACAATTCCCAGAGAATCCACACATCCAGAATCCTTTTAAATACAATCCTCTGATAGCTATCTCAAATCAAATTGACCTATAAACTAAAAATATATTTACCACATTGAAGTATATAATCTCTCCAATTCTAAAAACTGAATACTAAATTTATTGTCCAAAAAAAAAAAGAACACCACTTCCAACAAGCTTAGCTCAACTGTGTTGACAGCCATCAGTTTCATTCTAAACACTCTTCTAAAAATCACTTGACCTGGTTCTTTCTAATTTCTCCAATATGCTTATGAATAATTTACCTTGACACTATTAACGTAAGTAACCTGGCAATATGATTCAGACCCACTGATGGGTTCCTCTGAAAGAAAAGGGAGCACGTTACCCAGTCTTGTCACCTCCTTCCCCCAAATCCTCATCAAAACAATACAGCAGCAGACCCTACTCCTGAGCAGCTGACCTACTCCCCTGCCCATCCCCTGCCCAGGCTTTACCACAGCCACCCTTCCACCACCTCCCTGGGGTCCCCCAAGCCATCTTCCTCAGATGCCCGTGCTCCCCTTCCACCTCTGCATCCAACATCCCGCCGTGTTTCCAGCAGAAACACATCTGAGACTGGAGTGCTGCGGCTGAAACACTGCCTGCAGTGGCTTCCTTTCCCTTAGCTCTTCAGCTCTTCCCAGGGCTCTCCTTCCCCACAGCGCCCCGCCCCCCACCCTTCCTCCAGCCTCTGCACTCACAGAGCAGACAAGTATTTCCTCCAGTCTTTCCTTTTCCTCACCTCTGGCACACAACTACTCGTCACCCAAGACCCAACACCCCAAGTCCGAAGGCAGCTCTCGCTTCCTCCTTTGGCTAACCACCCCCTGACCTAGGGAACTAGCCACTTCCTCTTCTCTCAAAGCTTGCAGAGCTGTCCTTGGTAGGTCCACAATACCGGCTCCCTCAATAGTTCCCAAGACCATCACAATCACCTAAGGCATGGTTTGAAAACAAAGAGTGAGAAGCCAACCCAGATCTATTCACTCAGTCTCAGAAATAAAAGACAGACATTTAATTTCTACTTAAAAAAAAAAACAAATCTCTGCTAAGTATTATAATGGTCCTGTCTGGGGACCACTGATTGATCTTTCTCTCCCAATAGGTGTCAAGATGTGTTTTGTCAAAGGCTGTAGAAACTGTCTAGAAAACACCGAGGAAGGACCAGGCACTCTTTTTTGACATCTCTCATCATCACAGTGGCCTTGACCTGTGTGCTGAAGATGAAGGAAGCCCTTGTGGACTTAGACCCACTGCTCTAAAAGGCAAAGAATCTCCACTTCCATTTCTAAATCTAAAAAACGTGTGAATACACGGTGCAGGCCCTCAGGAAGTTGTACCATGAGAACTCTGAGAAACAAATCCTTCCCTGGCATCTGAGTGGAAATTCTCTGCCTTTAAACACTTCCTAAAGGTCGGATTACACCAGGAATAGATGCGGGGATGGAGGAGACGGGGCTCCAAAGGCTTAACCATTTTCAGAGTAACATCCCACTCTTCGTTAACGCCACCCCCTGACATCAAAAGCAGTCTACTCCAGCGCTGGGACAAGGGCACAGCAATGTTTGCACGATGAGGATACTCCCACAACCCACAAAGCAATGTTGAGTGGTTAGTGGGGAATGGCGAGCGTCGGAGAGTTGGCAAGTCCACCTGGTGACATGTCTCACTAACTTTGAGGCCCGAGGACGATCCCGTTTTTAAGTCTCGGTCCCCCACCTCCACCCCCTCCCCCCAAACTGAGTCTGCAAACTTGAGTTCACCTAAAAGTCGCGTCTTTCCTCGTGTTTCGGCCCTTCGGATCACAGACACGGTTCCATGCTCCTCCGCTACAGGCAAGGGGCACTCTCTCCCCCACAAGGACAGTGACAGCCCCACGTCTGCTCGGCGGTGGGCGCCCCGGGCCGGGACCACCACGCGGGGGGACAATGGAGGGAGGAGGGGGAGAGCCGCTGGACCCGGCCCTCCTCGGCCACCAAAGGGCTTGGCGAAGTGTCGGGAGCGCCAGCCCAGCGGCAGGTGGGCCCAAGCCACCGCCCCTCACCACACGGCCACGTCGCCTCAGGCCGGCGGCCGCCGCGTCCGGCCCCGCGCGTAGGCCGAGCTTCGAGAAGAGTGGCCCCCGGGAGCGGCGGAAGGGGGCGCCGGGCCGGACCCTGCCCACGTCCGCCGAGGCCCAGCCTTCTCGCAACTTGGAAGTCCACGAGACGAGCGAAGGGGCCCCGGACAACTCGGCAGGCACTGGCTGCTCAGTGTGTCTGAGGATCCAATCTCCCCGGCCCGGCCCCGGCCACTAGCCCGCGCTCACCGCAAACACCGGCTCGTGAGAGAAGGAGCAGCCGCAGCCCCTGAGGAAGGAAGGGGGAGGTGTCCCGACTCGGGCATCGCATTCCTCTACCCCTCGTTCTCTCAGGCCATTCCCACCCGGGTTCCCACCTCTTCCCAGATCTGCCCCGTCGTCGGCCGCGCGGGTGTTTACCGGGACTCGGGGCGGCGGCGACTCCTCAGTCCCTCGACTAAGATGGCAGCCGGTCCCGAGCCCCGACCACAGCGACTGGAGCGAGTTAGCGGTCAATGCGCAGGCGCCTCCGTTCCAGAACGGCCCGGACTACAAGCCCCAGCAGGACTTGCGCGCCAGCCCGCTGCCGGGCCCGGAGAGTTGGGGGCGTTTGGTGGGGTCTGCGCGGCGACGTCGGAGTTTTCCCACCCCTAGGTGACAAGGACTCCAGCTGCTCACAGTACCGCTTTCTTTTCTTGTGTTTAACACCCCGCCCACCAAAGCCTACAAAAGACTGTAGTTGGAGGTGCCAGACTCCAGTGTGCATCAGTGTCACCTGAAGGGATTATGAAAACTTTTAAGATTTATTTTTTTTTATTAGAAAGTCAGATTTACACAGAGAAGGAGAGACAAAAAGATCTTCCATCTGCTGGTTCACTCAAATGGCTGTAACGAACGGAGATGAGTTGATCCAAAGCCAGAAGCCAGGAGTTTCTTCCGGTTCTCCCACGGGGGTGCAGGGTGACCATCCTCAACTGCTTTCCCAGGCCACAAGCAGAGAGCTGGATGGGAAGTGGAGCGGCCGAGATGCGAACCGGTGACCACATAGGATCCTGACACATACAAGGCAAGGCCTTTAGACACTAGGCTATTGTGCTGACCGATTCGGTAAACTTAATCACTGCTGAGCAACCATCCCGGGAGTTTCCCATTCAGGAGACTTGAGGAAATCCAGTCATTTGCATTTGGTTTTCTACTTTTATTTGAAAAAAAGAATCACAAAGGGAGAGAGGAAGAGATAGAGAAGGAGAGAGATTTCCTTGCTGTTATGCACCCAGATGACCATCCTGGTCAAAGCGGGGAGTCTGGAACCACCTCTGGGCCCCAGGTGTGTGGCAGAAATCCAAGCACCTGAGCCATCCTCTGGCACCTCCCGGGTTACTCTAGCAGGAAGTTGGATTGGAAATGGCGGCGAGGGTGGGACTGCACAGCTGGGATGGTCCCTAGCTCATTCTACAAGCATGTCCCCCCTGGAGTCACAGCGAACAGATCAAAATCCTCCCTTCTCTAACCTTTAACAAGTTAACTTGGGATGATGATAATAGCAGACCTTTAAAAAAAATTTTTTTTCATTGGAAAGGCGGATATACAGAGAGGAGAGACAGAGAGGAAAATCTTCCGTCTGATGATTCACTCCCCAAGTGAGCGCAACGGCCAATGCTATGCCGGTCCGAAGCCAGGAGCCTCTTCCAGGTCTCCCATGCGGGTGCAGGGTCCCAAAGCCTTGGGTCTTCCTCAACTGCTTTCCCAGGCCACAGGCAGGGAGCTGGAAGGGAAGCGGGGCTGCTGGGGTTAGAACCGGCACCCATATGGGATCCCGGGCGTGAAAGGCGAGGACCTTAACCACTGCACCACCGCGCCAGGCCCCAAAATTTTTTTTTTACTTGAAAGTCAGAGAGACATCTACTAGTTCATTCCCCCAACTGGCTGCATCAGCTGTTGCTTTTCAAAGTCAAGTTTAGGGTACAGGGAACCTTGGGTCCTCCATTGCTGCCTTCCCAGGCCATAAGCAAGAAGCAACCCGTACTCCAACCCATGCCCTCATGGGATGCTGGTACCTGCCATGCCACTGCCTGGGGCCAGGTGGGTGGTCTTCTCTAGGAGTAGCTCAACAAGCCCTCTCCATGTCCAGTGCGAGAAGCACCCAGATCATTCCCACTCTCCAGACACCTAAACCAAGTCCCGCGTTGGGTAAGAAAGCTCGGCAGTCTGCCCTCCCAGCCGCTCTTCCTCTTGCAAGGTTGTTTGTAAGATTAACAGGCGATGTCAGTCTGACTCAGAGGCACCTCGGACTGCCCAGTAATTAGTGACCTTTGCTACTATTATTTAGCCTGTTTCCTCCTAATGAAAATACTGTTTTGCCATCTGGAAAGACACTTGCACTTTAGAAAGTACTTTCAAAACCACCAGGTTTCCTGCCTTACCCCAGGAGGGCAGCTCAGTAACAACAGGTTTCAGGACCTACCCCTGAAAGATTCTGTCCGGCAGCAAAGCTCTAGCGGTTCTCAGAGTCAGCTGCCTGGGGCCCAATTTCAGTTTCTAATTCGCAGGTCTGAAGTGGGGCCTGAAAATTTGCATTTTTAACCAAGGCCCATCTTGGAAGAATCACTGCTCTAGGACAGGGTGTACAAAATCTGCCCCCCTTTAAAAAGATTGATTTATTTTTTTTATTGGAAAGGCAGACTATACAGAGAGAAGGAGAGACAGAGATCTTCCATCTGCTGGTTCATTTTCCTAATGGCCACAATGGCCAGAGCTGAGCTGATGCAAAGGCAGCCACCATGAGCTACTCTGGGTCTCCCACATGGGTGTAGGAGTCCAGATGATTGAGCCATCATTTGCTGCTTTCCCAGGCTATGAGCAGGGAGCTAGATGGAAAGTGAAACCGCCAGACCTTGAACCACTATCTGAAAGCTCAGGAGCTGGGGGAGTCTTTAACCTGAAATGCCTCTTTGGTCACAGCGTTTTCAGCAGCAGCCAGCTCCTCTTATTCCATCTCTTCAGCATCACTGTACAAGGAACTAACAGGTATGACCTCCCATGAAAGACACCATGCAAGCTCTTCTTTCTGGGCTAGCAATGACCACATTAGACCCACTGAGTGAGCTCCTTGGTTGCACTGGATGGTAATGCCCACACAGCACCAAGGAGGGTCTGTGTCCCACAGAGCACTGCCGGGGGTGTGGGTGGCACAGAACGATGCTTCAGGCTCTGGGAAGGCTGCCTGGATCTCATTAGTGAAAGTCCCAGGCTTGAAAGGGGCAATAGTACAAATGACTCCAGTGGCAGCAGCAAACTTCAACACAGCCCTCTGGCCAAGGTTCCTGGAAGATGTGACACCTCAACAGAATTTTCGATGACAACAACGGAAGCTTCTCCCTGGATCTCTGGGTAATGATAAAGGCGCCATCACTTTTCCTTCCGTACACATCCTGTTCTGTTTGGAAGTCAAGGTTGGTGCCATCTTGGTGGGTTCCTGCTGCAAGGAATTGGAGGACAGCCTCCTCTTTCCCTTGTAGCACGGCAAGGGCTCTAGACACTGGGATGGCTAGGAATCAAGAACATCAGGATTCCTCCCTGGGTAGCACAAAAAGGATTGGAGGAATTGTTAAAACTTCAGATTGTCAGGATTTTTAAAAATTTATTTATTTGATTTTAAAAAAATTTTAAAGATGTATTTTATTTTCATTACAAAGTCAGACATACAGAGAGGAGGAGAGACAGAGAGGAAGATTTTCTGTCCGATGATTCACTCCCCAAGTGGACGCAATGGCCGGTGCTGTGCTGATCCGAAGCCAGGAGCCCGGAACTTCTTCTAGGTCTCCCACACAGGTGCAGGGTCCCAAGGCTTTGGGCCATCATCCACTGCTTTCCCAGGCCACAAGCAGGGAGCTGGATGGGAAGTGGAGCTGCTGGGATTAGTACCGGCGCCCATATAGGATCTCGGGCGTGTTCAAGGCAAGGACTTTAGCCGCTAGGCCACGGCGCCAGAACCTCCCCACTGACAAAAAAACAAAACATTTTATTTGATAAATACAAAGACTTGCATTCCATTCCCAAATGCTGGCAACTGCTGGAGTTGGGGTAGACCAAAGTCAAGAGACAGGAACTCCATCTGGGTCAGCTGCTCCACGGGTGACAAGGGCCCAATCACTCGTACCATCATCTGCTGCCTCCAACTGTGCATTAATAGGAAGCTAGAATCAGAAGCAAAGCCAGAGCCCGAACCCAGGCACTCCAGTAAGAGATGTGGGCATTCCAAGCAGCTCTTCAACTTCACCAAACATCTACCTAAACTCTCAAATTTTCAAAGATAGGATGTTCTGGGATCAGGCTCACAAACTGAATTACCTCTTCTAACAAGACCCAGATGATGCTCATGTCCAGGGACTACACTTTAAAAACCCTGGACTTGAACCCAGCGCTATAGACTTGTGGCTAGTCTTGCCTTGCACGTGCGAGCATCCCATATGGGTGTCAGTTCTAATCCTGGCAGCCTTGCTTCCCATCCAGCTCCCTGCTTGTGGCCTGGGAAAGCAATTGAGGATGGCCCAAAGCCTTGGGTCCCTGCACCCACATGGGAGACCTGGAAGAAGCTCCTGGCTCCTGGCTTTGGATCAGCTCAGCTCTGGCGGTTGTGGGCACAAGTGGAGTGAACCAGTGGATGAAAGATCTTTCTGTTTCTCCTTCTCTCTGAATACCAACCTTTCCAATAAGAATAAATAAATTTTTTTTGCAATAAAAAAAAATAAATCTTTAAAGAAAGAAAGAAAGAAAGAAAGAAAGAAAGAAAGAAAGAAAGAACGAACGTGTCCTCACTCTGTCTTGGATTCACAGCCCTGTGCCTCTGCCAAAACTCAGCAAGGAGTAAGAGACCCATATGCACATGACTGTATGTAAATTTAACCTCAAAAATATAAGGGGAAAAAAACCCACAACTGTGAAAAGACAAAAATATCACAAATTTAGTTCAAAGATCTTAATTGCCTTGTATTTGCAATTCTACAATCAGGTGACAAGTAGCAGAATGGGTGTTCTGATGAGCTGAGCTGAGGGGTTAGACAAATGAGGGACTGAAAAAAAAGGAAAACAAAACAAAAGCATCTTGGTCATTTCAAAGTTACTTCCCCTAGCAGGATAAAAGTAGAATGAGCTTTCTTATCATCACATCAGCTAAAACTGGCTCTTCTGGAGGTTTAGCTATTATCTCAATCTCCTGGTTTCTCTCAAGGTCAAACACATAACTGGGTTCAGGCTTGCTGATGTGGACCTTTAACACAAATAACTGCATGTTGGTTAGTTGATACCTGGTACAGAAGCTCTGTCCAAACCAGTGGACTCTTA